ACATTAAAATTTTTTTTTTTTTTTTTTTTTTTTTTTTTTTCCATCCAAGTGAGGTTTACCAGTGATCATATACTGTAGGCAAGTGTGTCGGAAATAAGTCCTGTGGAATGAGAGAAAGAGAGGAACCTCTTTAGCTAGACTTTATAATGATGGCTCAGTTGTTGGCCTATTGTTGCCTCCAGCGATGTGGAAGAAACAGTTTAGTAAAGCAAAGTGGACCAAACATTGGATAAAAAATTCATAAAAATTCTGGAGGCAAACATCAAATCAGCTGTTCATCTAGAAAATTAATCCATCCCAATGAACTACAATCAAGGGTGCAGTCTTTAGATGTTCCCCAAACATGCTAATTTATCTGATTAAAGATCTTATTTAACTCCATTATTTTTTGCTCAGTGAAGTTGTCTGTTGATTTTGTTGGAAAGCTGTCTTTAGAAGCTCTTTATGACATTTACCCGTCCCTCTCCTGCACACGTTTAACTGCTCTGCTTGCTTGTTTTCTAGTTTCCACTTACCCTGAAATGTGGTCGCACACCTGTGTCAGCTTAGTTCGACGCATGTAGGGTAGAGTTGATGGGACCAGGTGGTATTGGCACATAAACTTCACAGAATTGCTTAGTGTTTCCAAAAAACCCATTTGGATCCTTTTATTCTAAATACTGAATCCTGTGATTTTTTTAATTTTTTTTATTGCCTCTTCTGCCTCCCAGTCATCATGGTCCAGTTACTTGTTTTAAGACTCAATACGATTTTAGAAGTAGTAGTTTTAAAACTTTTAAGGCAGTCCCAGAGAAAAGTACTGGAGTCACTGAAATTCTCTCCAGATGTAGAGTAAATAGAATTGCCCCACCCCCACATGTTGCTGCTTATCTGCAGCATCAAATCTGGCATGTATAGAAACACTTTTAATCACTAAAAGCCCAAACATCCGGGGTGTGGAAACTAAAGGAGCGCCACTTATCACTGTAGTTGTAGTAAAACCTATGTTAGCAAGCTAACTGAGCTTGGCTAACTGAGCAAACAGTTAGCCAAGCTAACACAGATTTTATCAACAATAAAATCTGTGTTGTTGAATAAGAAACAAAATGAGAAAAAAGCATAATATTCTAGGCATCTGTTTGTACTATATATTTTTGATGTTTTTATGTATCATAATCTAAACAATAAAATAACTTAAAATGTTTGTTTTTAGTTATGTGAATGTAACCATAATTATAAGCGTTTTCTGTTATTTATCAATTTTGTTTATTTTTTTATTAAAGTGCCAAACGCACTTCCATGACCTTTGTTTACGCTATTGATGTTCCAAACATTGAACTGGAAAATAAATTGTTTCAGAATAGTCCAGCTTTTTCATCCTTCAAGCTACTGCATTGCATCAGAAATAATATTTTTTTGTACAGTAAAATGCTTATAACATTTAAAGCCTCTTTTGTGTGAAACCTGCATCTTAACATTTCAATGTCAGCTCAGAGATAAAGGTTACAGCACTTATTCAGTCAGTTTGATGCATTCAAACTTAGTGTGGTTTTGCCTGTGCTGAACCATTCCTACTAACAGGCCACATAAAACTTAAAGCTTTTTCAGAAAATAGAAAAACTGATTAAACACAGAACTGGCTGAAGACCCAGTTTTTGAATAGGCTCTAGAACAGGAAGTTAAATTCATTCCTGAGAATTACTAATGCAACACATAGATATTTTGTTTGGTTTTAACTATCAGTTAAAGGTTGAAGCTTAAATTACAATCAGCCTTTTTCTCTTTCAATAAAGTAAGAGTTGTATGTTATAGCTCATGCAGACAGAAATAGTTGGACAGCGGTAAATGTGGCAACGTTGACTTGCTGTGATGATTCAGTTGAGCACACACCTTCCTGATCTGCTGTTGTACACGAGACTGACTGTGTGGGCTGATAAAGGCAGCTTCCCTCTTGAATGGGGAAGTAGATTCGAACTGGTGCGCAGAGAAGAGGTGCATGTTTTTTTTTTTTACATTCAGCGCTCGGACAAAAGGGCTGTCACGATATGAACCACAGGAGGCCGAGGAGGTAAAGTCGACAGATAACAAGCCACGGGGAACTCGAATTGACCTGAGCTGTGCGAGCAGCTGAGCAGTCATAATGAGCACCTTTGCTGTGAGTTTTCTTCTCTACGTTATTGCTGGTTTTGCTCTGCACTTACTGGGGTTTTACTGGCAGCACATGACGTGTCCTGCATACTGAGTTGGACTCGATCTGCTTGACTTGACTGCTTTGGAAATATCGTTTTCTCATATTGGGTTTTTATGTTCGGGGCAATAGTTGCTGACACCATTTCTCTGCAGCTGAACAGAAAAGCCTGAGCGCAACAGCTCTGAGTTAGAGAAAGAGCTTTGCTCTCTCATGCCTCAGTTACTGCCTCTCATTAACTTCAGATGAGTACAAACGAGTCATGGTGTCTGTGTGTGAACTCTTGGGATGGGTTACATTAGTCATAACTGGCAGCATGTTGGCAGCCCAGGGAGGTAGTTTTAAGAGGTGTTGTGAATTTAGATTCATATCTGATCTGAGCTTAAGTTTGTCAGCATCCTGTTTTTCACAAAAATATAAAACACACAAGTCTTTAGCAACTTTAATTTTTACAGAAACTGACAAAAAGGAACTGAAGATTAGATGCTACTTTATCTCCTTGCTGTCAGTTTCAGAGGAAATGAATTTAAACTCTTAACTTTAAGTACACTGAACATAGCAGCTGTTAATCTTTGTTTTCTGTCATTGTCCTTCTGACTCTCTGTCTTTCTTTTCAGCTGTCGCCTGATTATGTCTTTGGCAGCCACCAAAGAAATACTGACAGCAGCTGGCAGATGAAGCAGGTACGATTTTTCTCTACCTGCTGCACTTTTTGCACCAGAGGTCATTTAAAGCATTTCTTCCTGGCTATAACCTTGGGACAAAATGTCAAAGACATAAGCTCCTTGTTCTAGTTTTACATATTTTCCCAGAACAACTGGATGCATTTGCTTAACAAAGCAAGACATCAAAATAACTTCAGTGACTTTGCTTCCCACTAGAAAAAATCCTGCTTGGTAATCAATGTTGTGCAAGAGCTACTTCTAAACTCAGTTCAGTACTGCATTTAAAAGACGTACACATTTTTTTTTCTCACTGTCTGACGTTAAATCAGACCAAACGTCTCTTGTTTTAGGTCAATTAGAATTACGAAAATTATTTCTATTTGTTAAATTCCTCAATCATGAGAGAGAAAATATATCACAAAGCTGTTATTGTGGTCAACATAAGATATTTACGGACAAAATGATTACCGTCTCCATAAGCAATGAGGAAAAGATGCTGCTGAAGCTGGTAAGACAGAGTCATAATCCACACTCAAACTGTCCTGTACTGACATCGAGGAAGAACCCGTTACTCCAAAAGAAATAACAAAACGTACACACAGGGACAGAGACCTTCATTTTCGGAGACATGTCCAGTGGCCTTGTGAAACTGAAGAGAAAATGTTTTATCATAATACGATATTTTATTGTGCATCCTTTAACTGTCTTTCTCGGGATAACTAAAGTGTTTGAATTAAATAGAGCATCGCTACATTTGGGGAAAAAAGAGGGATGCTTGTACCATCATATAGGGGTGGCAGCATCTTGGTGTGGGGCTGTTTTGATGCTGGAAGATGACATCATGAGGAAATAATATTATGTGAAAATATTGAAGCTATATCGAAAGACGGAGTAGGAATTAAAACCTAGGCATAGATTGGTCTTTCAAACGGACAATAAGCATACAGCCAGAGTGATTACAAAGTGGCTTATGGACAACAAAGTCAGTGTTTTTGGAGTGGCCAGCACAAAGCCCTGATCTCAAGCCTATGGAGAGTTTGTGAGCAGATGTGAAAAGGGATGTGGGAGTGAGGCGGCCTACAAACCTGACTCAGTTACACCAATTCTGTCAGGAGGAACGGGCCAGAACTCCAGCTAACTAGTTTGTTGATGGAAACCATAAAGACTTGACCCAAATCACACAGTTCAAAGGAAGTGCTACCAAATACTGAAGAACTGTATGTAAACTTCTGATTTATTTCTTTGTTGTGCCATTTATCAAATAAACATATTGTTATTGTTGGATACATTTTATTCTCACCTAGTGTCCTCAAAGTGTAATTTTATAATAGCTGGTTTTCCTAAACAGCTGCTCGCAAATATTTAACTGTTTTCACCAACAGAAAATAACATTTGGACTGAAAGTATCCATTAGGACTACATTTGTATCTGTGGTCGTCGTCGTCTTATCTTCAAGTTAGCATAGGTAGAATTTGCCAGGAGGGAACATTTTATTCTATTTTTGGCTTTGAAACTGTTGTTGCACAATTGAAAACTCACAGTAGTAGTGAAAATGACAAAAAAAAAAAAACTGAAAGTTTTAGTTGCCTTTGACAAAAGCACTCATTCACTGCACATTTTCTTGACAATTCTAAAGCCATAAAGACAATCCATGTTGTTGAGAGACTCTAAAGCCGCAGCTTGTCTGTGTTTTTGCTTCATCTTCTGTCCAATAAGAAAAGGACAAAAAACAAAAAACAAACAAACAAACAAAAAAAAAAAACGGGGCAGCGTTGTTTACCCTAAAACGCACACCTTTTTAAGTTATATCAAGATAACTTAAACATTCCCTCAGTGTTCCCCACTTAGATAACAATTCTTCAGTTCAAAGTTCTCAAAAGTACAAGCCCCACTTGTGAACACATTCATTTGTGGCTACCGTGCAAAAAGAGTCGACCTCCTTCACACATTTGTGAATATAGTGGTTACCTTAGCTGACGAGCCTTTAAGTTGTTTCCTTTTTTGTTTGCTTGCCTGGCTCTGTCAGTAGTCCTAATTGCTTTATTGAGTCTTATGGAGCTTAAAATTCTTCTCTTGAATATCAAAGACGTCTTTTAGATTTCTAAAAGACGTCAGTAAACCTTGGCTGTTTTACTGTAGAGAACATTAATGTAATGCCAGCTATGCTGATTTGATTCTCAGTGATCAGCGTTTATGCATATTAAGGTGGTGAAACAGCAACTCCTGGTGTAAAAGAAAGGTTGTTACCCAAGCAGTTTCTACTGCAACATGTTGCGTCACGGTGGGGTGTGGGTGCTCTTGCTTTAAAGCCCTTTTTAAAGGCCTGCTCTTTGCAAAGCAGCAGATTTGGCTCTGAGAGTTAATCCTCCTTGTATGGAGAGATGCAAACATCAGTTGTGATCTTTAGGCTGATTGTTCTAACTGGGTTACGGAGATTGGGAACTTTAATAAGGCTTTAGATGCACAAAAAGTAGAAGCCGTTTACACACTTATATGTTCTTATACGGGGCTGTATCTGTGACCGTTTTGCATTTAAAATAATTGCACTTTATATGTTTTCAAATTTTCAGATGACGTTTTAGTAGCCAATCGGAGAACCGAGAGGGTTTCCTTAAACTAATTAGAGAAGCTGCAATCTGTTTAGAACAGATAAAGTGCAGTTCATTTACACACCATAGTTTATTTTTACTGGGGAATTTTTCACCAAAAATTGTATTTGAGCATTTTAGTGAAGAAAAAAAAAATTGTTAATTGTTAAATGTTCAGAGTATGCATTTTACAATGACATTTTTTTTTCTTCTTTTATTTACCAAAACTGGCCAGTCTGGGTCAGTTTGCACCAGTTCTTTCTGATCTCATTGCCCGAACACAGTTGTACCACAAAACTTGCACCTTCTATGCTATGCAGTAGGACAACAATGTCATAAACAGCATGCAATGATATTCTGTAAAAACTGCAAATCCACTGATGATCAAAAGAAACAAAATGTTTTATCCCACATTTGGCAAAAATACATTATCATCATCTTCAGTACCCTAAGAGAAAGTGGAATATGCTGGTGTGTACAGTGTTCATTTATTCATATATTCAAACATGGTGGTGGTGTGATGGGGTTTGCTGATGCCAGACCTGGAGGAACTGCTGCCATAACTGATAAAAGCAAGAATTTTGCTCTCCATCAGAAAATTGAAAAGGAATGTCAAACTCACTTTTGTTTCCAACAGGACAGTGATTGAAAACACACCAGAAAGTTGACCTCTCAATGGATAACATAAATTAATGAAGGCTTTGTGCTTGCTCAACATTAAGTCTGCTTGCTTGCTTAACATAAGTCCAAATGAGGTGCTGTGGTATGACCCTAAACATGAAAACCCTCCAGTGTGGCTGAATGAAACCAGCCCTACAAAGAAGAGCACTCTGGTTTTGTTTGTCTGATATTAGTATTTCTTTGATGATCTGAAATGTTTAAATGTGAAAAAAAAACAGGTGCAGGTGCATCTTCACAGCAGCATAACGTCTTTTCAAACCACTTGTATTGAATCACCTGTTTGTTGTCTTTGCTGTGTCTTTTACATGACATTAACCATTTGCTGGTAAAGAACATTGAGCGAGACGTCTCCTCCGACACGTTGAGCACACCTGCGTTGACAAATACAGAAGAACAGTGCCATAACTCTGGATCCCAGCATGGCGCCAAGCAGCAGTTCAGCCACACGCAGTCTGTGATCCTGTCTGAGAACGGAAAGGTATTGCCCTCCATGCAAACACGGAAACATGTTCACACTCTCATCACCTGTGTGTGCGGTTCTTACACAGAGGAAATGATTATCGATTAATAAGCACGTAATTACCACGCAAAGCCAAATGCCTTCTGCACACAAATGCAGATGAGCAAACAGCGCTGGTAATGCTCTCTTTACTTTCTGTATCTGGTCCAGCAGCGCAGAGATTCCTCCTCCAATGTGACCAACATCATTGTCGAACCTCCTTCTCCAGAGAGCTCTCCGGACAGTGACGGAGGCACACCGGTGAGAAAACCTAAAATGTTGCTTGTGTGGATATGAATTCATGGGAAATGTTTTCGCTACAATAATTTCCCAAAGCAGCCACTTTTCCTCTTCCCACTAAAGTCAGTCTAGAAGACAGACTTGAATGTGGTAAATTTTAGCAGTCTTAACGATTGTCTATTATAATAATAATAATAATAATAATAATAATAATAATAATAATAATATAAGAGTAATGCACTCAGAAAACTTTCTAAATCAGCAATGTTTGAATGTATTTGCAGACTTTGTAAGGGGGGAATCAGTAATAATTGCATTGCCAGCGAGCAGATCCACTACTAACAACAGATATTTTATATTGTCTATAAAAAAAAAAAATACACCATTATTTTTGGGGGTTTCTGTTTAAAGTTACTTTATCTCACTAACAAGTCTCCCCATACTGCACTGAGCACTTACAGTACAGCTTCACAGACAGTATTTACTCTCTCGCATCCTAAACGGGGCCATACCGCAGTGGGAGATTTCACAGCAGCTCCCCTACTGCTATTTTTTGAATGATGCAACAGCCAAGTTAAATGGCTTCACTCAGGAGCCACTACATTACAGAGAGGGGGGAAAAAAAAAAAAACTCTCTGAGGAACTTCACTCATAACATTTAAACATGTCCTTAGAGCCTCTTCTAATTCCAGCTAAGTCCGCCTATTTTAGGTGATACCGTTTATGTTTCAGGCTATGCCTGGATAAACATTGCAGGTTTTCATACCTATTAAACTCTTTGGCATGTTTTCCTAGGAGCTGGAAAAGGCAGGCCTCCTGAACAAGACAAAGATTGCAGAAGGAGGCAGGAAGCTGAGGTGAGGCTGCATGACGGAGAGATAAATGTGATATAACCCTGACACATTCTCCTCTGTTTGCACAATTTTTGATAAAAAAAAAAAAAAAAGATTTTTAAAAACACTTTAAAAAGTGAATTTTATTTTATTTTTTATTAAACTTAAGTAAAATTACTCAAAACCCTGTCAGACTTAGGATTACACTGACCATTTTTATCAGTATATTTCTCTTGACTTGAAATTATTGGTAATGTTAAGCTGCCAGCCAGAATCTGATAGTAAATCTGTGGATGAAAATAAAGTTTAGAGGCCAAATGTCTTGGAGCTCATTTCCAAAGTCAAATCTTTTATATACCATGCTAAATTACATACAAAATTGCCCAAATAATCATATATCTGCCAGAGATATGAATATTTAGGTGTAATTATAATAGAGCATACTATGTTCATTATGCTCTGTTATGGCCAAGCATAACAGAGCATACTGTTATGCTTGGCCACACTCAGCAACAAAGGAATGTATTTGGAAAGTCAGAACATTTCTAGACAATGGAACAAAAAAAGAATAAAAATCCAGAGTTGATCTAGAATAACAAAAATGTGTTTTTGCAGAAAAAACTGGAGTCCTTCCTGGGTGGTGTTAGTTGGAAACAGTCTTGTTTTCTTCAAGGATCCAAAATCTCAGACACCGTCCAGCTGGGTGAGAGTTCGGACAAAATATGTTTTTGTTTGTTTTTGTCTATATTTTTTTCAGCAAGAATACTACAACTACAAGAAAAAACACAACAACTTGGTTTTAAAATAACAAACAGAGTTTGCTGGGAACATTTTGCACAAGCAGTTTATTGCATTTGTTTTGAATACAGAATCAGACTGTGTGGTGAAGAGTGTGTTAGGCCGTCTATATGGATGGATATTGCAGCAATTAGCCAGTTGGCCTTGATTTAATTATTTGTTGGTCAGGTACTTCCACCATGATTTTAAAAAGTTACAGTTTTCAAACTGATAGACCTTCACTATATTTGATTGTCTTAATACAAGGTTCAGTGGGAGTTTTTTCATGTCTGTTCAAGACTTTATATTATAGATATTAATAACGTAGCTTCATTAGCATTACATTTCAGAGTTGCCTAAATACCAACATATTGTAAAATGGTGGCCTTTTTAGTTAGTTCTCATATCCTCTGTAAACTTTACTTCATTTTCCATCTTAAAGCCAGTTCTACATTCAATCAGTGTTGCCTTCTGCCTCCTTACACCTGATTACAATCTTTCATTATTACACCTCTATGTTTCATGTCTCTTCTCTGTGTCAGATTGGTTCTTGTCCTGAGGGAGATTTTCTTGCAGGTTTTAAATGTCACCACTTTTGAACACACCAGTTTTGAATATAGTGACATTGTCAAGCAGCTGAAAAATTTGGTAACAGGCCAAGGGGATGATCTATTTGAATTAGGTTGGAAGCAGAATCACTCCTCAAACTTGTAGAGTATAGTTAGTTAGATAGTACATGTTTATTATGCATTCCGAGTAGCGATTCACAAAAATATTCACTGATGACCAGATTCTAGCAATTGTCAAGAACCCTGACCTGTGTCCAGTCAGCAGGAAACCATCCCTCCATCCGTCCTCTGGCTATTCTGCGTATTCTTGTAGGGTCATTGTGGAGTTGGTGGGGGTAATTGGCAAGGTACATCCTAGACCATTTGGACATATAAAAATAAATTTGTTTTCACATTAGTAGACATAAAAAACTCCATATCTAACAGCTTATCTTGTCCTTTTAATGCCTTTAACTCGTATCTGTCAGTGGGCGTGCTGGATCCTTACAGGTTGGCAGCCTTTTATAAATTAGAGCATTAAGATACGTTTGAACGCTCTCTAAAATTTACAGAGTCCTGTTTTAGAAATGATAACCACACTCATAGTGCTAATTGATAATGTAAGAGCTTACAATAGTTCAAAATGTCATGTGATCTTTTCTTTTGAAATTACAGTAAAAAATAAATAAATAAACTGTCCTCCATCAACTTCTCTCTCAGACAGGTGTGGTGTCCTCACCTCTGCTCTTCATGCATCTTCTTACATTGCAGTTTTTAAGGAACAATAATGATTGTCTTAAATCTGTATTGATAGATCAAGGAATTGTAATTGCTACACTTCTAGTGCCAAGTTGAAAGAAAAACTTCAATGTCTGCAGAGGCCTGAATTCCTCCTTGAAAGCTTTGAGTTTCACCTACTTTAATCTTAAAATGTCACTTGATCCCTGCATGTGTAAGACATAGTTGTAACTGTAGTAGTAATTTGTTTTTCCCCTCCGTCAATGAGTGCAAACATGGACTTTGTAATCTGCTTCTATTGCTAATCTAGCAGTTGCCCGTCACACTAAACTTAATTTTTGGTAAATCTCTCTGGTTTCTCACCTTACAACTAGAACCTGATAACTTTGGGTCTCGTGTCATGAGCGCTGACATCTGAGATCACAGTAAAGCTGCTGAGTTCCTCTGGTTTTGTTTCTTTTTGTCATTGCTTTAGTTCTGTTATTTACTAGTTCCCTCCATATATGGTGAAGTTGAGTCCACTCTGTAATAGTGCCTTTGCCTCTTTTCTGTGCATTAGCTTGCATTTGCTTCCTTTTTAAATGCTCATCCACACCAACGTCACATTAGAATATTAAAAGTACCACAAATTCAAAAGTTTCTTACTTTTTACAACACGTAACAAATACGAAACTAATTAATGTTATCTCCAGTTATCAGGACATTAAGACGCAACAGTCCAGACTAATAAAACTTGTGCTAGACACTTCTGCTGCAGGAGTTGTGAGAAAAGCATAGATATGTGATAAAGATAACACAGACTGTGAAAAGTAGCGGAAAAAGTTCTCCCCTTAAGTGTGAGGGGGAAAAAATACATGTATTAGAAACGTATTGGCTTGATTCTGGCATTGTAGACAAGAGAGAATTAACATATGATTTCTTTACATGTTAATCAAACTCAGAAACCAGGAAACAGCCGTCCAGAGAGCAGTGTGGACCTTAGAGGAGCAAAGCTGAACTGGGCCAACGACCTGTCCAGCAAGAAAAATGTCTTCAAGGTAACACACTAACCATGTGAAAATAGAGATTTCCAGGTGATTTATTCCAAAATAAACACTAGTAATGTAAGTTGGGCACTCTGACAGCAGATAAAAATGTAATTCCGGGAAGAAAACAGTCACTTCTGCAGGAAGGAAGTGAGAGTGACTTGATGATTCTTCAATGACCTAAAATTAGGGAAAAAAACAGTTTAACTGTTCCTTTCCAGAGAAATGTAGCTGAATCTGGCTGGGATTTCTGTCATTGGTGTTCTGTCATTTAAATCAAATCACTGTTTTCTAGAAAATTTTGTTTGTGTGTGTTTTAGCTGCGGACCATCACCGGCAACGAGTTCCTGCTGCAGTCAGACACAGACTCTCTGATCAGAGAGTGGTACAACACCATCAAGAATGTCATCGACAGGCTGGTGAGTTAAACACAGAGACAGAAACATGAAGTTCCAACTCACCACTTCTCTGTTGGTGGCTGCAATGGTTTCCTGTTATATAAAAGTAGCTGCTTCAGTATATGAACATTAACATTCACATCCAGACTTCGGTCCGCTTCAGCTTAGGGGTTGTGCTCACTTGTCATAGCATAAGATCGTGTTTAGAGATCAGTTTATATGTTGACATGTTTATTCGATTGTTATTTGATTGTTTTTAGGCTTTATTCAGTCTCTGCAGGTTTTCAGGTTTCACAAACATCTACTAGGTTCTGTTTCCTTTAGCAACTTGGTTCTGAACAACCACAAGGTAATACCAGTGTTTTGTGGTATCTTGTGAATTAAAATTAAAGACAGAACCATGCGACTTACACAAATGTTTCTCCTTTTGATTAAGGGGTCTTGGAAATGTCATCCAGATATGTAATTTAAAATAGGACTAGCTTAATGCCAAAGGTACAACATAACATTTGACAGAGCTCAAAGGAAGTCATGGTTTGACTTTTGGTACTGCTGATGCGATGCACATTGTGCACCCATAAAATCTCTCCAAGGAGCTGCATTAATCAGCCCACTCTTCCCATGCCAATATTTACTGCAGTAGTATGTGCTGGGGTCTCTGATGTGGAAAAGTGCACAGACCTCCAAATTGTACCCAGGCTTGGCTGTGCTTGTTGTTGGGAGATTGAAAGTTGCAGTTAGTTTTTCATGCTGCAGTTTTATTGCAAATAAACCTTTCTGGCTCCAAAACAATACTTTTTAGTGTTAAAAGGAGATAATTTGGGGACACGCCGTTTTTCTGGCTACACATGTGGAGCTGCTGCAGAGTAGAAATATTTTTAAGCACACTGTGGTCCATCTGTACTGAATATCCCTTCACCTGCTCATGTTCATGCTGCAGATAAGCTAAGGTAGAGATCTGCAGACTGTGACTATTTCGGTCAAGCTAGAACAAACACAATATGTATGGCGGTCTCGTTGTAGGCAGACAGCAGAGAAAGGTACTTGAAAACATTATAATTCTCACCTCCCATGAGGGATTCTGTCAACGTTCTTTTTATTGGGTTATTACTTTGATTTTGCTCGGAAAAGTTTGTCAGTTCTAATGTTGTGATGAGAAAATCTCTTTGCTGTGATATTTGAATACTTCCCATATTCAATTCCTCACTCAAATTCTCCTATTTTGTGTATTTTGTTTATGAAGTGTTCTAGGTGATTTTCTGAAGCATGAAATAGTGGGCATTCTGTAAAATTATTTTCTGACTTCATGTTTCATTCTCGGTTGCACTTAGCAGGAAAACACCTCTTACAAACAAGTCTGTCATAGCCTATGAGCGATTGATGATATTAATGGGATCATCGTCTGTGCCTGATCTGAACTTCAAAAGATTCAGACTTAGTTTCATCAAGTTTTCTCTTGTGGTTTAACTTTTTTTTTTTTTTTAAAGAAATCTGCATCTATTGGTAATGTTTAACTTCAGAGTGATTTTATTTCCTCAAAAGAACTCAAGGTGCCTCTCATAGCTGGACAGACAGATCTAATGAGCCTGGTTGTTCTTCTAAGCATCTTCTAAATCCAGAGGATCAAACAACTTGTTTATTAACAGACCACAGACATGTTCAGGTGTCCATTATCAGATTTGTGTCTTTCCTTACAGGACTGTAAACTAATCTTTAACATTCCTATCTAAACTTTGCAAATTGCAGGTGTGTTTTTAAGTTAGATTTGGGGAATTCAATCTATCCAATATGACTGAACTTAACTTATATGGCAATGAGGAATGAAATTTCCCACTCCAGAGGTGCAAAGGAGACATTCTTTAAAATACTTGCAACGTTGGTTACAGTAAAATTGAATCAATCTATTCAGGGGAGGTAAATATACCCCCTTTGGATTTTTACTTGTAAAAAAGCTGGAAAACTATGTATTTTGCCTCCTCTTCACAATGACTTAATTTGCAAATGAATGTTAAATGAACTGAGCTCGAGGTTAAATGCCTTTCCCAGCAGAACATTGATATTAGACAAGAGGATGCTGGACTTTAACTTACAAAAAAAATACTTTGAAGTTCTTGGTCTAATATGATAAAAAGCCAAAAGAAAATTAAACATTCTTGAAAAACAAAAGAAAGATGTTTCATTTTCCAACCATTTCTTCATCAGGAGTTCTTCCGGCTTTCTGGACGTCTTTGAAAGCTTTTCTTTATTACTTTAGCTTGATAGAAATGCATAAATAAATTTGGGGTTTGTTTAAAAAATTTTGTACAGTCTTACTCAATGTCGACCTCCCTCTTCCTTCTGCAGGATCGGGAAAATCCGTTAGAAAACGTCCTCCAGTACTCTCTGAGGCGAGCTGGCAGCGTGGAGATGCTGGACCACAGCGGCGACGAGGACGACAGGAGAAATTCTCGTAAGTCGCGACCTCCTGTTGCCTCCGTCACTCCTGCCATTCCTCCCCGCCTCTCTGATTCACAGCCTCTCTCAGCATCATCACTCTTTTCTCTGAACCTCCATGCAGGCTTCTTGCATCCCTCTATCCTGACTTCCATCATCTCCTCCATCAAGCCCACCTATTTCTTAGCTCAGCCCCCGTGGCAGATAATCCCACCGTCGGTCCTTGCTCACCTCCGTCGTCGCCCGGCTCTCCCGCTTTTCATTCTCACCACCATCCCCCCTCCTCTGTTCTCCTGGCCCGCAGCCGAACGCCCCGCACTGACCTCCTCTACCTTGTCTTCCCTCTCTGCTGCCTCCTGTTCTTCTCCCTGTGTAGTCCCTCGCTCTGTGTCTAACCTGGAAAACACGGAGAGGAAAAGAGTGAAGACCCGGTTGAAGAAGCTGATCCTGAAGAGACCTCCTCTGCAGGCTCTGCAGGAGAAAGGGCTCATTAAAGGTAAGATTTCTGTCTTAACGTCTAAGTACCAAGATGTTTATTCAAAAGTGTAGATGGAGAATCATAAATTAAGTGTTATTATAATACTTTATTCTTAAAGCTAAATCACAAGATTATTTTTTTAAAGTTATGTAAAGAAATTGTGTGATTTAAGTGAAACAGATTAAAATTATGATGGCAGCCAGGAAGTGTCAGCATTTATCCGGCAGTGATGCCACATTCCCTGGTGATTTTGTGATGCAATTCTCCTGATCTGTTTAGTAAGTAACTTTTTTTCACACTAGTAACAAAACATAATTTATTCATCCTTCTTTAAGCTGCATTGGGCAGCAGTGTTATTTAAAATGTTCTTTATGAGCCATTTAATAAGCCGTGATTCAAATGCTTTAGGGGGAAAATACTTCGGCACCTCGTCTAAGCTTTGTTTTCAAATGCTGGATGAAATAACATTTGAATTTTCAGAGAAATATCACAATGCCTGCTCTATAAATACAGAAATACAAGCATTTCCTGTCAGATCTACTGGTGAAAAATTGGTCATTAGAACCAGCTACACTGCAAAACAGCTTCAGATAGGCCGTTTTGTCTAAAAGAAGACTGTAACATGCAGTAGGAAATCAGTTATTATCAGCAAATCTACTTACAGATTTTAAGCTATATTTAAATAAACCGATTAATCTGCGGCTTTGCCCATAAAAGCATTGAAATATTTATTAGATGCTTTTGAAAAACAAAGAAATGTATATATTTTTGAAATATCATCCTGATCTCACTTTTTTCCTGATCAAAAGGAGATAGATTATTACATTAAAAAGCACATCATAGTAATTCACTAAAAACAAATAAGACCAATAAAACACGTTTGAATACATGAAGTATCAAAATCAATGCAGTCTTTTTCACCAATGTCTTCTCTAAAACTTTTCTTTTTCTATTAAAGCCACATTTTATAGTTTTATCCTTATTTCTTTATTTATCTTTTCAAAAGAAGGAGTTTGAACTAAATGAACACTTGGCTGTGTAGCAGGTGTGCACAGCCATTTTGGACGTAGGAGAAGTCTACGGTTCTCAGATTTTTGAGTCAAGTGGAAGCTTTGGAAAGGAAGTGGAGGTCTCGTAAATGCTCATTTTTATCTTTTAGGATTGAGCTGAAAATATTTCCCTTTCTGTTAAAGTGTTAAATTTGTTTGGTAAGCCATTTCAAGCTATTTCTTTTACTAAATTCAATATTTACTTGGTGTTTCCATTTTGTTTGGCTGCTGTACTTTTATTCTAAGGTTGTGTACTAAAATATTGTTCTTATTTTAAACCAATGATATATGCACTGGTAAAATTGTAATATAGGTTATTTTCCACAGCTGTAATGGTTTAATTAGACCCGTTTGCCTTCACTGGAATCATGTTTTCAGATCAAATAAACTAACCAATCATGACTTCTATCATATTTTCATAATTAAAAAAAAAAAAATAGGCCAGATTTTGGGGGGGGGGGAAAAAGCATGACGGATTACATCTTTTCCTTTTTTGTCTAACAATAATAAAACTGGTTTCTGATAAACTGTCAGAAATCATAAACCAAAATCAGTTATCATTCAGTGCTAAACACAAACTGGTTTAAAGTTTTAATGACTGCAGCTTCTTTCACAGCATGTTATTGAGAAAAATTCAGACATATCATAGAGAAGTCATCCAAACCAAATCTATGATTTGGGTTACGAAAAGTTTCATAATTCAGTTCAGTTGTGACCTGCTCTGTGTGGAAAACGTTGTCAAGAGAAATGCTTGAGGCCAGTAGTTTAGAGACTGAACAAACTAGCATCCTGCCAACTCTGTGGCAAGCCCAGGGTGACTGCATTTCACCACAGGAAAGAATGTCCCCTTGTGGACTCGGGTAGATGTGGTAATTTCTGCTGTGGTTCTGACCAGTATTGGTAATCTCGCAAGCACTGATGCCAGCCGGCTCCTCACCAGTAACCGTCATTGAGCCATTCAGATGAAAGTCTCTCTTTCTTCCACATATCCAATGTGTTTTACTGCATGACAGTGATGCTATTGTCAAAATCTCATATCAGTATGTCTTGGTACACAAACTGTTTGATTGCACACTTCTAATTATCCTCATAATAATAGATTATTTAAATATTGGCCGTGAAAAGATACTTCAGGTCGACCCCAGATATTTAGAAGTTGGGAGGGAAGTCGATTGAACTCGACAGAGTGCAGCTAAAAATAAGAAAACAACTTGTTAAAACAGTTATTATCTAAACTGAGTAACAAGACGCTTACTGCCTCCAGCGTCCATGTTGACCCGACGGTCTGCCTGCTGACTCATTACCAGACCTGCTGTGGCCGTGCCGCGACCTCTGCTCAGACCGGAGTCCTTCACCGTTTTTACTTTCACAATTTCTGTCCGCTTTTCCTTTAGAGAGAACCTTTTGGGACAATAAACGTGCTTACTCCATCCTGTTTTATGTTACGAGTAAGCTGTCGCAAATCCGTTTAACATATCCCCCTCGGCAAGGCATTTCTTGTCAAGGAAATAATCTGATTTTTGTTGACAACGATAAGCTGTTGTTTCTTACGGTTCCAGATGACCCGTAATCATCTGTGTATGGTCTTGATTTTTCATTAAATGGTGACTTAATTCCAAAGGCTCACGTTGTGTCGGAAAATGTAATTTTATAGTGATTTCAAATTAACATTCAGATTATTGGAATGGTGATTTCTACAGCGGAAGGCAGAAATATCGAATATGCTTTTGAGGTTAGTTGCTGTCACCAGCTGCATGCTGTTCTCTTTTTTTTTTAACTCTCCCATTGTAGCTGGATATTGGTGCCACGCATTTAAGTTACTCTATAGTTTATGGCGTACAGTGCACGAGTTGAATTGCATCATCCAGTGTGAGAGCAAACGCGTCTGCTGGGAACTGACTCAAACGAGAGGGGGTTTCTCTCCCACTGAACGTCGTTTTTGGAAGATTAACTGCATCTTGTAGCTCTGACATGATGAAAACAACCTTTTAAACCAACATGGGAAAAAACAAAAAAACAAAAAAAAAAAACAGCCTGTTTGTGTCCATCTGTCTTCGCCCCTCAGATCAGGTGTTTGGCTGCCGCCTGGAGATGCTCTGCGAGAGAGAAAGGAGCACCGTCCCCCGCTTCGTCAGACTTTGCACGGAGGCTGTGGAGAAGAGAGGTACAGTCACTGAAAACACGTGATCATAGCTGACTGTGGACATTGGGGGGGGAAGAAGGTCCTGAAATCTGTTTTGTGCATCAGCTGACAGCAACTCTGAGCCCACTGCTTTTTACAGATTTGTGCCATAAATCCTCTAAACCGTAGCCGCTAAAAATAGTTGTGATGGCTCAACGGAGAGCAAAAACAACAATGCTGTGATCCAGAGAAGATCTCATGACAGCTGCCAGACTGGGAGAGATAAATGAGAGAAAATTGACTTGTTTTGAAACAATACAGCGATGAATATTTCATGCACAGAAGAAAAAAAAAAAAAAGCTATTAGGATTCTAAAACCTGGTTTTGATTAATTAAATATGTCAAGGGAGTAACATCGTGAGTTCAAGGCATTTAAGGCTATGATGTAACCTATTCGACAAAGTGAGATAAATATTTTTTTTTTTAATCTTGCGAAAAAAACTAGACATAACAAAGGCATAATACCCCCTGATTTCTTAAAGGTATAATAAAAAGTTTATTTGCTTGGATAAATAAGGAACTACAGTCGGGAAAAGGTTAAAGAAGCTTAAATAGATTCTCCTCTTTAGCTTTAATTTGTTTATTTAATTTACTGTCACAGACAGGGAGGAAAACTGTTAGTTTTCCTTTGAGTGTACTACTTCACACCTTCCACACTCTATTAATTATTAGCTTGAGTTTTCTCATTCCTTCTGAACTGCTGTAGCCAATTCAGATGTGTAAGCCATTCCTTTAGGTGACATTAACTTTGTTGTTTTTAGGCTCTTTTGTCAGTAATTTGACCGTAGGGTCACTGTCCATTTGGAAGATCCCATGTTCCCAGGTTTGCATTCATGGCTGATGTCTTGAGGCTTTCAGTGTTATGGATATTGCTTTGCTTATGACGCCATCGGCTTGGTGAAGTTCACCGCTCCCTCCCCCAGCCAGACACCCACACAGCATGATGCTGACACTCCCATATTTCACAGCTGGTTTGATTTCTCAAGCTTGCTAGTTGCTTCACTTTTTCCTTAAAATTTAACCATGGTCATTCGTTGTGCACAATTAGATGGAAGTGACTTTCTATTTATAAATAAAAACTCCTACTTGTTTTAAACAGCGCCTCTAGACAGTGTTTCTTGTGAATCAGTGAAAAATTAGTTTTTCAGATGACATGGTCACTCATTTAAATAGTTGTTGGATCACAAGAGAAAATGAAAATGAACTTTAGACAAAAAGCTTACAGTTATAATAGCATCAAGTACCAAATGTGGGCTTGCTGTTCTTTTTTTTTTTTTTTTAGCTATGCCTAGTGGCTATAGATTTACAAAAGACATTTTTGCTCAAACTTTGAAGGGTGATTGTTAAACGACAGGTGGTGAAATGTTATGGAGAAGCTCAAGGTAGTCAGAGGATGTCATGCAATCATGTAACACGTCTTTACTTCTATTTTGGATTCCAAAACGTAGTGAAATTTCCCTCATCTCCACTTTGTCTCTCAAATTCAAGGACTTACACAGCACACTTCATTTGCTCGATAACTTGGTAACTCACATGGCCAGGATTGTCAGACGAAAAGGCCTCCTTGTGTCTAACTTGTGTGTGTGTGTGTGTGTGTGTGTATATGTGTTGCAGGACTGGACACTGATGGCATCTACAGAGTCTCGGGAAACCTGGCTGTGATTCAGAAACTTCGCTTTCTGGTGGACCACGGTGAGGATGATGGAGAGGAGGGGGAAAAAGCACTTGTGTCAATTCCTGCTAATGACAATGATATTTAGCCTAAATTCTCAGTTTTCTTTATTCCTCTTTTACTCAAAAATATAGCTGTTATTGTGAAGAATACAATAATTGTGCACTCTGGTTTCATTACATAAATGTTCGGTCTTTACCATTTAAATGTAACCTAAAGTGTAAAAAAAAAAAAAAACATGATTTCAATAAATGATAACTTTTCAAACAAAATTAGCCTAACATGGAAAAGTGTTTTAGATATGTACAAAATAAGTTAAGCCCTATAATTTAAAGGTTGTTTACAATCTTTTTAAATGTTGATTATAGATCATGTCCAAAGTATAAAAGTGACTTTTAACCTGAATGAAATTTGTTACTGCCTGAGTTACACTTCACGTCCTGGTGGTTGATAAAGCGGACGCAGCAGAAATCGGTCTGAATAACTGTTGGTTTTTGCAGAGCGAGCGCTGACCACAGACGGCCGTTTCATGTTCCCAGCGGACCTGGTACAAGGTAGTCTCAGGCAGAAGGAGAATTAAATCGGCCTGCTTTCTTTTCTAACTCAGCCTGCTTTTGTGTTTTGTGCACTGTACAACGTGAACGCCTCAGTGGGGGGGATAAGGTCCCCACAATGCCCACCCAGAGAGCTGACTATAGCAGAGCTGAGCTGGCGTGCAGACGGGAGCAGAATAGCATTTTTTCCCCCTCTTTTGTCGTTGTTGTGATACTGTTTGCTTGATGTGTGTGTCCCTTTAGGCCTCTGTGCTTCAAGATTTCTGATGTAATAACATGCAGCAGGTTGTACAGAGTTATCACACAGTCCATGGGCGCCACCAAGTGGACAGAGCAGAGAATTGTCTCTCTCTCTCTCTCTTTTTTTTTTTTACATGCTTTTTACCTCAGCTGTATTTCTGACTGATGCTTCTCCCTTCAGAATTGTACAGGTTGCTGTTCCTCAAAGCGTTTGGCTTTTTTGGTTCAATTTGAGAAGCATTAGTCAGACTTGTTGAAAAAGAGATGTGCTTCGTCGTCTGAAGAGTGTGTCTGTGTAAGCGTAGGTGTTTATTTTGTGTTTTTTCTTACTTTTCTCACCCTATCTTCGTCCTGCAGCCTTCATGTTGCGCCTCAGCCCTGAAGTGAATTAACTCGCTGCTTACGTCATATTGTTCAACTGAACTCTTTCATTTTTCCTTTCATTTTCTTCCTCTGACTTCATTTGTCTGATTTTTTTTCCCTCTTCTCCTCCCCCCTCCCTTTTAATCTTCCTCCTTGTCTCAGAGGAGAAGCTGAATTTGGACGAGAGCGAGTGGGAGGACATCCATGTCGTCACGGGAGCTTTGAAACTTTTCTTTCGTGAGCTTCCTGAACCGCTCATTCCCTACGGCTTCTTCACCGACATCGTGGAGACAGTCAGTGAGTGACCGCCTTCTGCCCCCTTTCACATGGGTTATATCATACGGCGCATTTTATTCAGTCTTTCGCTGAACACTGAGGGAGAACATCTGAAAATGGCAATAATTTTTAATCGGTCTGTCAAAGAGAAATGTAAATACAGTGCTTTGCAGCAGTATTTATACCCCTTGAGGTTTTCAAATTTTGTCATGTTATAGAAACAAACATCAATGTATTTTATGGGGATTTTATGTGACACACCAACACATATTGGAGCATAGTTTTGTCTTGGAAGAAATGTGACACATAGTTTTTTTTTATTATTATTATTTGGTTTGTTGTTTAGTTTTTCCAAAATAACATAAAATTGTGGTGTGGATTTGTATGCAGCCCCGCTGATCTTGTAGCACCATCTTCAGTTGTAATGACATCTGAAAGTTTTTTGAGTGAACACAAGACAATGCTTTGACTGTATCAGCTTTCCTATCCCCACAACATGATGCTTCCACCATAGTGTTAAATGTAGGGTTCACATGTTTGGTCTCATCTAATCAGAGCGTCTTCTTCCACATGTTTTCTGTTTCCCCAACATGGCCTATGACTTTATATTTCTTATGGATTTCTTTTAACAGTGGATTTCTTCTTGCCACTCTTCCATAAATGTACCAGATTTGTGGAATCCATAACTTATAGCTTTCCTGTCGACAGATCATCCCACCATAGATGTGGATCTCAGCAGCTCCTCCAGAATTACCATGAGCCTCTTGACTGCTTCTCTGATTAATGCTCCCCTTGTCGGGTTTGTCAGTTTAGGTGGACAGCCATATCTTGACAGGTTTTTGGTTTTGCCAAACCCTTCTATTTTCAGATGATAGACAGTGCTCTGTGAGCTTTTTCTCCTTAATCCCTGACCTGTCTGCTCTGCTCCTTGTTCTTTATGAGGCTGTTTGCTCACTAATGTTTTACTACAGACCTCAGAAGACTTCACAGAACAGCTATGCTCATACTGAGATTAAGTTACACTCAGAGCTGACACTGTTCACTGAAAAGTAATTAGTTCTGCACTGGGTTTTATTTAAGGGTATCAAAGTGAAGGAGGAATGCAGATATTTGCCACATTTTTGCAATTTTCTCATGCAAAAATTGAAAACTGTTGGTTACTTTCACTTTACGACTCATGCTATTTAATATTGGGTTCAAGGGGAATAAAATACTTTTGCATTGCACTGTGCATCTTTATTTGCTTTATAAAATTGCCTCACAGCAGATGTGAGTGGGAGAAAAAATGCCTTACTAAGCATATTCAAATAATTTACTTTCTTAAACCTCACAACGTTTTTGTATGCCATGTTTTAGTTTTTGCTCTTAGTATTTTAAATCTGTGTTGGCTGATTTCTAAAATCAACTTCGGAAACATGTAGACCACCAGACCACCTGCGCAGGATATATTTTGATTTAATCTCTTTGTGTTTGTACTCGGCACGTTTCATAATGAATAAACACTAGGGTTTTGCTCCCACTGAGTCAAAACCAGGACAGAGTTCACTCTGGTGTTTTCTCACTTTGTCACCATCGAATTATGAGGTTAAAAATATGTTATATTCATGCTGCCGCTTCTGAACTCTTCCTTATGACCTCGTTTGAGTATGCAGTAAACATATGGTACAGAGTGTGCTTGAATGTCAATGATTTAAGTACAACCTGTACTGGTTATATTGGTATCAGTGATGAGGTTTGTATTATTAGATGGAAAAATGGAGAGTAGAAGATGGTATTTGGATCAGTAAGAGGTTTTGTTTTTGGCCAAGCCATGTCTTGGTTGTAAAAATCACTCACTATTTCAGTGTTGGAAAGTCTCCCCTATAAAGAAATAAAATTTCATCAGCTTTGAAGAGTTTTCAGTCCAGCCTTTAAGACTCTGCTGTTCTATTTTAGTTTCACTCATCCACAAACCTGTCTTTTGCACTCTCCTGAGTTGTCTATCTTATCTCTCACTGCAGAGGGACAGTGATGTTCTTTTTGAACAAGAGTCTCCGTCTTTGCAGCCCTGCCGTGCAATGCTAGCTTTGATGGTTGCTGGACTCCTGGAGAAGTTAACAGCTGTCAGGGTTACCTCTGCTTAGAAACAGCCAGTTTGATCCTGGAATGTTCTGCCTTTGATTGAATATGAGACAGTGCATTTATTCACTCAAATATTTTTTACGAGTTTCTTTAAAAATGCGGAGATGTTGCTGACATAAATGGAGAAATTTAGCCAATTTTAAGTATATATTAGAAGCTAAAAGGACAAGTTGAAAACAGTTCCTCTGCATCAATTCCAAGACCAAGAGAGTTATAATTATATACTGACAAAAACTGAGCTATGTTTCGTTTATAGAGGGTGGGCTTTAAAAAGAGTAATGTTTTTAATTATTTTTAAATGTTCGCAGTTTCATTTTTCTTCTCTAGAGTCAACATAATACGGTTGAAATTCAATACATTAGTTTAAATCTGCCCCTCCTCTCCACCTCTGTAGAACCTCTCAGTTGACTCCCTTCTCAAAAAAAAAAAAAACAAGCCATAAAACTACAAAATTCAGCTTGGCTTATTGATTGAGCACCATTCCACATCAACAATCTCAGACAATTCAGCTCAGAACAATTTGGCCAAATTCGAATAAAATTCGTTAAATATTGTTCAGCTGAATCCACTTATAATAAAAATAACAGTGAGATTCTGTTTTCATACAATCAAATGTAACACAAATGGCTTTACAGTAGTTAAAAATGAAGGACATGGAAACAATAAACAGTCAAACCAACAAATAAGACAATAATTATTTACAGCTAGAATGGAGAGGCAAATAAATGTAGCGCAGCGGAAACGGAAACAGTACAAATAGTTTAACCATAAGACAGATGAACTGAAATGAAATCTTCAATTTGAAGAGACTTTAAAATTGGAGTTATGTGAGCTTGCTTTCTGCTCCTCATCAGCTCTCTTGCAGTAGAACTTTGTTGCAACTCCAGAGGAACTTTGCTCTTCTTAGTCAAGTCAAATCAAGTTTATTTGTATAGTGCATTTAATCAATAAGGCAGATCAAAGTGCTTCACATGATAAAAACATGACACGATAAACAAAAAAAAGAAACATTTCATCACATTGACAAAATAAAGAGAAGTAATAAAAATGTACAGTCCAGACAAGTATGAATTATTGTATCAGTTATTATTAATCAAAGGCGGCTTTAAAGAATAGGTTGTTAGCATTGATTTGAAAGAACTCGGTGTTTCAAAACTTCTGCAGTTTTCTTGAAGTTTGTTCCAGATCAGTGGAGTATAAAAGCTGATGCTGTTTTTACATATTTGGTTCTGGTTATGGAGATGCAGAGCAGGCTTGGACCAGAACATCTGAGAGATTTGAGAGGTTGACACAACAACGGCATATCTTCAATGTATTTCAATCATATGACATGATCAACAGTGTCTAATGCTCTACTGAGGTCCAACAGGGCAGCACTGTGGTTCTACCACACTCTGTATTTATGTGGATGTCATTGAACACTTTTACAAGGGCAGTCTCAGTACTGTGGTGAGCACGGAAACCGGGCGAAAAGACGTCAAAGTGGTTGGTCATTTTTAGGTAGCTATTAAACTGTTGAAACGCACCTTCTTCAAGAATTCAGCTAATCTTGCTGTAGAAAAGCAGAAAGCAGAGCAAGTCGATCAATAACCAATGTATCTATGTGTAAATGCATTGGTCAGAGAGAGAAAATCCCACTTGAAACACTGTTTATCTTAAAACAAACAAAAAAACAGATGACATTTTACTGCAATCCCTCATGAATTATTTGACAGTTAAGAGAAATGGCTCCCTTTTAACGTGAAAAAACTTCCAGCAAAACCAGAGCCAGCATCAAAAGGCCAACTACCTCATCCAGCAGAACATATAGAGAGGAAAAATGAAATGTAAACAAAACATACGGCCAGGAGGACTTTGCACGAGAGAGAAAAATAAAGGGAACACCAAGTGAATGGCAACAGAAATGGCAAAACGTGCATTAATGGAGAGCAGAGTGAAGAAGAACGGTCAGTGGTTGTCCAGCAACACCATAATGGCAGAGATAGCTCAGAACAACTTAAACCATTCCAACTATAACCTTTAATGACTTCCACAATGATATCCACATAAATATAGACTGTGGAAGAACCACAATGCTGGTTCTGTTGGACCTCAGCACAACATTTGGCTCTGTTGTCCATACTGAAACAACTGGAGAGTTACGTAGGATTTTCTGATCCTGAACTCAATTGGTTAAAATCTCAGAAAGAGTGGGGATTTCTTTGTTTCTATTGGTAACTTCTCATTGAAGTGGACAGAAGTCATATGTGGGGCACACCAAGGCTCCATCCTGGGACCCCTCTGCTTCAATATCTACATGTTCCCACTAGCTCAGGTTATAACAGTTACCATAAGTAATCTGACACAAAGCTCTACATTGCGATGTCACCAGGTGACTCTGAACCCATGGATACTGTAGATGCTTAGAACAGATAAATGCGTGGATGTGCCAAAACTTTCTCCAGTTGAACTAAAAAAACAAACAAAAATAAACTGAAGTTATTATCTTTGGACCTAAAGCAGAACGATGAAGAGTCAGCACAAAGCTTCAGTTATTATAGCTAGAAAACTGCAAACAGTTGAAACACTGAGTTCCTTTAAATCAAGGCTAAAATCCCACCTGTTTGCTTTCGAACCATAATGAATTAAACTTTGACCGACATATTTGATGCATATTGATATTTTTAATGTCGGCACTTGACAAAATGCAACATCTATTATTGGTTTTGACAGCTGTCAACTATTTGATGTGTTTAAGCACTTTGAACCGTAGTGTTGATGCAAATACACTTGATTGATGATTAACTGATTGATATTCCATGAGGAAAAACTTTAAGCTGGTCTTTAAGTGGACATGTTGTTTGACTCCTAGAGATCTGTCAGCCCGATAGCTGAAACTGTAGGAATCACCAGCAAACATTCACTCTGAAAGCGAATTGCTCTGCTGGGAACATATAAAACCTCCAGATCGCTAAAATAAAATGAAGCAAGATTCAGAACTTTAAATGATTATTTATTAGAAGACAAGTTTAAAACTACATCCTAGATAAAACAGGGAACCAGAGAAGAGAATGTAAAATCTGAGTAGTAAGATATTTCCTTTAACTCACATCAGGAGTCTTGCTCATCATGGAAGCTTTTTAATTAAGAGTTACTGAAGACGCATGGTCATCTGGCATATTATTCTGCACAGAGACAGGATCCATATCAAAACGGTTCCAACATAAAATGGCATGCCTAAATTACGCAGAATTTATGAATTTTCTAATTCTGTTCTCACTCTTGACATCAAGGTCATGCATGACACCTCTGCAGTAAAATAATTCCTATCGTTTATTTTATTATTTAGCATGTTGCTGTGAATCAGATATGGTATTTTTCTGATAAGACAAAACACGTTTTTAGATGAAAAACATGTTTTTTTTATTTAATCTATTTGGTTTGCCTAACTTGCCTGATAAGACTCAATATCAGTCTATTCTTGACTCTTTTTTTGTGTTGCAGATAATCTCCTGTGTGAATATCACACCCTACAAAAAGAAAAAAAAATTACAGATAAAATAAATATTCATAATTTATACTGTTTTATCTGTCCCTATTACAGTCAGCACTTTTCTGTTTTGTTTGTCACACCGCTATGGTGATGCGTGATAACAGCTTACTGATGTATCAGATTAAACGGCGGCTTCTTGCACAGTTAATCTGTGAATATGCAAATCAGGCTTTGGATCCTGTTAAAAGTGCAAAACTTGCAACACACATGGTTGATACTTATTTTAACATGATGTGTCTTCGGCCCTGTGTTGCAGAGATGTCGGACCACATGGACAAAGTGGATCGGCTGAAGTGTCTGGTGCTTAACATGCCCCCTCCAAACCATGACACCCTGGAGTTTATGTGCCAGCATCTCAGACGGTGAGATGGGTTTAAAATGAGATTTAATTCATTGAACCTGATGTGTTTGTGTGCATCTCTGGGTTTTAGTTTCTTCGGTTTGTTGTAATTTTTTTTTCTTTTTAAATGTCATCAAGCACCCTGACATCTGACCGATACAATTTCTCCAACTCGTTTCCCCCTTGAATCTGACCACAAGAGGGAGTAGTTTTCCTGCGTGTCCCTTCATATTCCCTGTCAGAGATTCTTTTGGCCGCAGCGCCTGAAGTGTACCAGGATCACGCTGTTGTTAAGTTTGGGTTACTGTGAAGATGAAAAGGCTGGCGGGAGATGAATGGTGTATGATGTTCTGCGAGCCAATTCCTTTTGCACTACATAAAATGTGTGTTTTTTACCGCCTATGGCTTTTTTCTTCCACTTCAGGGGTGAGCGTTCGTGTTCTGAAGCTCATGTTTGTGCCAGGGTGTGGTGGACCCCATGAATTTGTCTGTGTCTTTTCCTCATTTTTCCTCTCATGTCATTCCTCTCTCTGGTTTTCATTTATTATCTCCCTGCTCAATCACCCCCCCCCCCCCCCCTCTCTCCCTTTTTTCCCTTTTTTTT